TATTTTAAGATAGTATCCAAAGCTCGAAGAATTGAAAAGCTCTAATTCACATATCACCTAAAGCTCTTCTTCCAACTTTCTTGTCTTTCTTCTCCAAAATTCAAATAATCGAAGAAAACTAAATTTCTTCTACCTCAAGCATTCCACGTCGGTTTCACCATATATGTCGTATTATGTGAAGACTTGCTTGAGAATGCAAAGAGCACCTGGCTGTGGAAGGTAAAAGAAAATTGCAACAAAAGGTCCTAACAATCCAATAGGATTATAGAGAAATTACAATTAAATGTTAACAATCATAATCAAACATTAAGCAAGCTCAATTAAATTTTATTGAAGTTATAAAAGAAACACAAGAAAATCTTAAAGAAATATAAAAAAATATTAAAGAAAATTTAGTCAAACCCTAACAAAAATCTAAATAAATCTTAAATTCTAACCAAATCCTAATCCTAATCCAACCTTAATCAAACCTTAGACAAACCCTAAATCCAAAACATACCCTAGTCAAATCTTAGACAAATCCTAATTCTAACAAATCCTAATCAATTCCAAACACTAAACAAATCTTAGTCAAACTCTAATCAAATCCTAACTCTAAATCCTAATCCAACTCTAACCCTAATCAAATCCTAAATCCTAAACCAAATCTTAACTAAACCCTAATACTAAATCCTAATCGACTCCTTGACCCTTTCACTTGTTATCCGTGTTACATCACGACAACATGGCCTATTGTAGTAATAATAAAAGATGTGAGGAGATGTGGTCGCAATAGAAAATGGTGTATATAACATATAGCAATAGTAGCAAAAATTTTAGTGGCATAGGCAATATTATATGGTCGCAATAGAAAATGGTGTACATAACATATAGCAATAGTAGCAAAAATTTCATTGGCATTGGCAATATTATATATATATATATATATATATATATATATATATATATAAAATTAAATTAAAAATTTATTATTTTATTTTAAACATCATAGTAATATATAATATCTTAATAAATAAAAGACTATGTATTAATATTTATTTAAATATCATAAATTTTGTTGCATGATCAATATTATAAAAACTCACAAAATTATTTCTTAAATATAAGTTATAATAATAAATTTTTAAAATAAATAAATAAATAAATAAAATCTATTATCAATAACAATTTAAACTTGTTATTATACTTGCATTATATACACCACTTAGAATATAGCTTAAATTTAACTTAATTCCTTATAGCCATTATATATTTTAATCTACAAATTTTTGGTGTTTATTTAAAAGTTATATACATAATATCTACCACATGTTTTATTAATAATATCATTAGATATGACGTTATGAATGATAAATAAAATATTTTAAACCATGAAAAAATAACAACTATTCTTAAAGGAACTAAATGTAGAATGATTTATTTCAATTTAAATCCACTTCTTACATAAAATTTTAAATAAAATTAGAACTTCTAATAAGATATCTTGTAATACTTACTGTCTTAATATATATATAAATTTAAATAAAAGCAACTCATATATAAATTTATATTGAATAATTTAGATTTTATGCATTAATTTATATATGAATATTATTTATCTCTCTCTTTCTCTCTCTCTCTCTCTCTCTCTCTCTCTCTCTCTTTATATATATATATATATATATATATATATAAAATTGTTAACACCACATCCTCCATTGATATTTCTACACCTTTTATGATCTCTTTGTAGATATCTAACTAATAATTTGTTTCTTTTTATTTTTTCATATTTTTTTAAATTTTCTTTGCTTTAAGAAATAACAGTGGTTGAAAAATGGACAATGAATATTTTATTGGAAAATAGATTGCAAGCTATTTTATTGAAAATAAAATTTCCTTGAAAACTATTTAATTTAAAATTATATTTTTTAATATCTAAAAAAAATCTATTTTTGATCAATTTGGTTTTAAATATTAGACTTTTAAATATTTCCTAAGTGTAGAAGTGTGCTTTTTAGTCAATATAAGTTATGTAGAGGTCAATTTAGATATAGTGATATTAAATGGGAATGTAGTAATATCAATTGAGGATGTAGCATTAATAATTTTTTATATACAAGCCTACCAATAAATACTTATATATATATATATATATATATATATATATATATATATATATATATATAATTTTTTTTATTATTGGAAAATATTAATAAAATATCAAGTTTTTTTGAGTATTTTTATTCAAATAATAAAATTAAATGTACACATTTTAAGTAATTTTATTTGTAATAAGAAATTATTATATATTTTACTTACTATAAAGAAAATTATAAATAATATTTTTTAGTTATTATATAATTTGAATATATAAAAATTCCTGATTATTTTGTTTTTAAAAATATTATCTATATTTTGTATTTTTATTTATTTTATAATTTTAACTTTTACTATTCTAAGTATAATTTAATTCTAAAATTACTACACTTATTTTATATAGCTATGTATATGTGTATATATATATATATATATATATATATACATATATAGATAATATTTTTTTATATTACTAAAATTTAAGAATATTATGGTCTTTATATAAATATATAAAAATGATATTAAAGATTAGAATATCTTTTAAAGCATAGAAGTTATATATAGAAGAATCAAAAAAGTTAATTTTTTGATGTATTAAGAAAATTTACAAGTATATTTTTAATTTAGCCTTAGAAATATACATCAAATAATTATTAGTATTATATAATATTTTATGTTAAATGGTTATATTGATAAGATGAAAAGATACTTTTTTAAAGTTTGCGCATTTGTATTAGTTTTAAATATTTTAAAATCAAGTTGAAAAATTAGTTAAAACATATCAAAGCATTAAATAGTCATAGATAATATTCTTTTCAAAAGTATATATATATATATATATATATATATATATATATATATATGAACTAAAATTTATAAAGTAACAATGAAAAAAATAAAAAATAAGATAAAACCAAAAAACTTAAAAACAACTATATGTTCATTTCATAAAATGGTTAAATTGTTGTTTATTTTTTATTTTTTGTAAATTTTATATTTTGAAATATTTTAATGATTTTTTGAAAATCTACAACCATTCAAAAAAATAAAGATTTAAAATTTAATATATCAATCATATCATTTATAAATGATTCTTTAGTCTATAATGATTTTTAGGTATTTTAAGTTTTGCATTATGTTTGACCAAATTCCTCTTGTTATTTTACCAAATTCCTAGTGTTATTGTACCTACTATAATAAACATAAGGTTTTGCTTTTTATTTGACCAAATTCCTCTTGTTATTATACCTACCATAATTAATTAAAATAGAAAAGTTTTATTCAAATTGTGACACTTATATATGTATTACTTCGCTTTATTACTAAATAATATTTAACAACGTTTTTTTTAAAATGTCTATAAATATAACACACGTAATCTGTGTAATACGTGAATATTTGAAAAGCACACTTTTACTTAAATTATTTATGTGTACAATGTACTTGCACAAAAATTTGTATATATATAGATATTTTCATTTTTCATGTTTCTGTATCAAGAATAGAATCTTCAGTCGACAAACTAAAGAATACTGACATCACCACAAGAGTCTCTTTCAACACGAAACGGATTTTTTTCAGCAAACGAGTGCGCATCTTTAGGAAGAAAGTGTGATACACCTGATATTAATATGAATAAATACGGTGGTATTTCATCTAGTAGGCCATATGTTGAATGAAGAATTACTTTTGTGTACATGTACACATACAGGAATACTAATAATAGTAATAAGATATGAATGTGGAAGAGGAGCGCCGGTGTTTGCTATTTCGGCGGTGGACCCTTATCAGCCAAGCTCACGATCGATCAGCTTCAATCATCTCCATCGATCATCGTCACACAGGCGTGGAGTTATGATCACACTGGGCCCATGCCGAAAATTGCAACTTGTAACAGCACTGAAGTAGCTCGGCAACCGAGAGAGATGGTGTGAAGAAATAACCACTTATCGGACTTCTAGAAACGCAACACAACGCAGATTGCGTGGGTGGAGAGACGGCACTGGTTTCTAGAAAGTCGGGAGGGAATAACAAGGCGAGGGACCCAGTAACAACACCATCAGCAGCAGAAAAACGATTCTCGAATGTGCCGCGTGCAACGTGCAAGCATCGGAGGAGACGGCGACAATCGTAGCCGCACAGACTACGACCGTGCTCAGAAGATTACACTAGTTTCGGGAGCCGATGCGTATTCTTGGCTGGATGCGTTGGGGAGAGAATTTCGTTGTTTGTAATGGTCCGATGGCTGTGTCACTTACTGCAGTCACGTGAATCGGAATCGGTGGGTGTTTCGACTCCCAGGTTCGGAAATTTCCCGCAATTCAGGAGGACTGAGGAGGTTCCGTTCGAAAGAGCTGACCTCGACCCCTCTTGAAGCGACCGTTGGAGCTAGTCTGTTGTCCCATTGCACCGAGAGCCGTCGCTCCTAATCAATGTGGGGCTAGTTGATTTTTGGAGAACGCCACGAATCAGTCAACGGATGAAAGTTTGTCAGGAAACTTCACGCAGCTGTCAAGAATTGGCACAATCCTAGCACTTCAAGTCCCCAACAAGCACTGCGAATAGAGCTCATTGTCTAACACCGAATTTTTTAGAATAACTGCCAGAAATGCTCTTGTTCTGGGAATTGCTCTAGGAATCCTCCCTCGAATTAGCACCAAAGGTAAAGGCGGAATTGATCAAAGGCACTATTGCTACACAATTTTTTTGGTTACACATTTTTTGGATGAGGCTTTCATTTGTATATTGTGCGTAAAGTGTTCTTGGAAGAACATGTTCTTCTAGCACGCTTACACCTCGACGATCCACAACGTCTGAGTGAAGAGTACGCAGCAACATCTCACGTTGTGCATAAGCCTACTCCCAGACGGTTACAGTCAAGAGTCTGATTGTTTCACAGATCCAAGCAGTCAAAGAATTTGTGTAACTTCTTAACTCAGTTGAAGAACTAAAATTGTTCAGAACGACGACTACACGAGATTGAATGTGAACACACATGCGTTCAACTTTTCTCCAATGATGCAACTGTTCTTCGGGGGAGTGAGGAACAACTCTAATGACTTGGCGAGCTTCTGCTTAACTGAATACCAGTTTTGAAGGACCGTGGCCCTGGGCCCGGTTTTGAAGGACCCTGAGTGGAGTATAGTCAAAGACCTCATTACTGGTAAGGCAAATATCTGGGCAAAAGATACTCTCAAGCTATGGGCTCTATCGAGAGCGGCACACTGTTCGAGAGGCGTATATTTCAATGCAACTTCACCTTCAAATCAGTAAGAGGTTACACACTTTAATGCAATACTCGGCTCTAGTAAATACAATAATTATTTTGAACATTTCCAAGTCAGATACTACGCGAACAATTGAGAGAGAACCGTCCAGTCGCCTGCACAACCACCAACGTGTCTTTGTCGGATTTACTGCAGTCATCATATACATGATGAACCACGTCCTGGGCCCGAGGGGGTAGCTCCACATCCGATAGTAGTTATCTCGCACGATTCTCATCCTTCATAATGGATCTAAAAATTCGGTGGCTCCACCTACAACACATTTGAAACTGATTTTGTTTTCTCCCTATCTATCTCTCTCAAACACACTTGCCTACTCTGGGAGGGAGATGCAAGCTGTGGACTCTGCATGAAAAGGCACACATTATGAACAGAAAAACACTTGGCAGTTGAAAGTTAAGATGTGAATCATGAATTCGAAGGCATTCGTAAAATCCAAATAAATGAACAGAAACTGAAATTCTGAAGAATGTACAATTGTTACATGCAGATTGATTATAAATAAGATTATGTACCTTCTAGATGGAGAAACTTGCAAGAGGAGCAAGGAGAGGGGCCAGAAAAGAAGAGCCTGTGACCGAGGGACTACCTGAGATCGTCGCAAAACTCGGAAACTGATGCTCTTTAGTTAGATTCAATCCCCAAAGCAAAGTCACGGAATTCAAACTAGCGAAATGGAGAATACAAAAAGATTATTTTTCAACCAAGGCCCCTTGGTTACACATGCTAGGTTGTGGATAACTGCACAGTAACAACAAACAGCGGAAGGTTGCAAGGATCGAGATTATTGTTACCACTTTTGCGGTTCGGGGGTTCTCCAACTTGCCGGGGGGAGCGTTCTGAGAGGGTTTCATTCTTAAGATATTCATGGTGTACTGGTAGGGACGCTCCTCCGATGTGGATTTGAAGTAACAAACCCCTTGGTTGCACACAGCTTGGCACGAAATTCTAACATCTTTCCGCTACAAGTGGGTGGAGTGGGTTCAACATCAACCCAGAAGTAGAAGCTAGCAAAACTATGAGGAAAATGCAACGACACCTCCATTGCTTCGACTTTCTGCAGTCAGTGCAGTCGGTAGGACACACAAAAAAAAAAAAAACTGCCGACAAGAAGGGTGTGACTGCAGTAATTCAAAATCAAGGTATGAAGGACTGCAACTTGATAAGCGAACCAACCACTAGTTTGCCACAGAATTCCTACCTGGAGGGAAAGGATAGCAACGGAAGCACACCACTATATCGAGACACGCTGCAAACCTGACTAACAAAACAGTAGCGGCAGGAGAAAGGGCTTCGTGCCAAACTGCGGCTTCCAAGGGACGGCACTTGGAATGCACCCTACCAGGCGTGGAGTGTGAGATGGAGGGAACTAGGAAGGTGAGCTCCAAATTCGGACACCACATCGCCTACATTCGTCGAGATCCGGAGCTTGTGTGTGTACCTTTCGTAGCGAGACAACGATCTGCAAAACCACGGAAGAGCTCTTCTTATGTACTTTCTCACTCTAGTCGACGCGCGAAGGTCAGACAAGTGACGAACAAGCGAGAGGCAGACTCGTAAAAACCTGCGAGCAGTCTATCTGCGGGTAAATCCTTCCTATGCATCGCAAATTGCAGCCATGGCTACTGTTGAAACAGGCACTGAGAATCTTTCTATTGACCCATGAAGCTATTTTCGGTTGTCCATCTCGCGATTGGCCGAAGCCAGAATGCCTTGTGATAAGCCTACAGCGAGATCTTTGCTATCTGCAAAAACTCCTGTGAAGGACTTTTTCATTACCACGAATTCCGAGAGGACATGGCTCTGATCAACTCTTTTTCCATAATGTCTCCCTTAGCGGTGTTAAAACCTAATTCAGAGGTAATCGGGGTTCACAGTGGGCCATTACTGCTGGCGAATTTTCTCTTTCGGCTTCTAATAAGGCTACTTTTTTCTTGTAGGTCAGTAAAAATATCCGCTGTGCTCGGTTAACCCTTCGGCTCTGCACTGCATTTACCCCCATCATGCTCCATCTCTCCCTTTCTAGAAATAAAAACTCTCTTGTCGACTCAGATAAATAAAGTGGATTTACACTAGACCAGTACAAGTGGTACACACATCAACAGCTCAGGTGTATATTCCAACGTCCCACTTGAACAACGGAGATCGAACATCATATTGGCAACCAGCTGGAGGAGAAAGAATTAAAAGGACTTCCTTTGTTGCTTACTCACACACGTCCTGGAGCTGATAGAATCCGATTTCACCAACTTTCCCACTGAGTCTTCATATTGTAAGGGCTACTCCAACATGGAACACATTTTGGACGTGCGAATTCGTGATGTCTAATGGTCTCCCCCACCTAGCCCTGTGACAGTGGATTAGCTGAGATTTTCTAGACTAGAATGCGTCACACCCAAGCCTCAGAGTAAACCGATCAGATCCGTCGATAACTTTTTGTTTTCTGTGCTGGTGCTTCTCAGGTTTCGTGATTCGAAGAAAATATAGAGTGGGTGCATCATTCAGTGTGGATTACATTTGATTTCCCTTCAACTCACTGGTGAAACCTGTAATGATCCTCTCAATGATTTGGTTTTCAGGATCAGTATGTGTGTTTGTTTATTTATATATATATATATATATATATATATATATACATATTTATAATATTTAATTTCTTTTTTCTTTATCTCCATAGAGCAAAATCTTGGATGGACCCACAGGATGGTCGGTTGTAAGAATATACTGCCTGCAGTCTCAATCGTGCAAGCCTGTGTTTCCAACCAGCCGCGACACGGATGGCTAGTGGTACTGGATTTATCCTCTCCTTCTTCTTCTTCTTCTTCTTCTCCCCTTTCTCCTCATCGCAAATGGTCTCTATAGTGCACATGAACGCCGTTCAAGGCATTGAAATTATGCCTGTAGTGAGCCACTTATGGCTCGCACGAATTCCGAGCATCCAGAAAATGTGTGTGCACATCCGGCAGAGCTGCGACTAGGCTTGCCTGCAGTGACACTTCAAAATGTGAGACAGCGCTCATGTGACAATTACGCAAGAAACCTGTCATCATTCCATTCATTCCTATGAGGCTATATCCAGGGTGGGCACCAGTAACCACTCTAGACGGGCTAATAATAGTTACAGTATGGGGCGTTCCGCAGACCAATCTGGATGGTACCGTTGTGGAGGCAATAAAATTAAATAGAAATCTCGCCAATTGTCCACGGATGAAAAGTTGCCTAAAGCCATCTTGCGAAGCTCAGGATTGTTTTGAGAGGGAAAGAAGAGAGCTAGAAGCCTCTGTTTCCGCTTATCTACTCGGTTCCTCTCCTTTCCTTCATTCTTTCTTCACACTTCGACCTTTTTCCTTTGCTCGGCTTCTTGTTTCCTCGTTCGATTTGTTTTTTCTTCTGTTTTCTATCACATTTTTTTTGTTATTTTTAATTTCAGAGAACATTCGGCACTCTTTGCATCCTTATCATCCACATAAAAGTCTGGCTCGAAGCTGCCAGAAATTACCAACATGGTGGTTCATGGATGATTGAACAGACTCGAAGAGCTTGACAGTTCTCGAAAGTCTAGTTCGAGATCTGGGTCATCAATATCACGCTCCTCCAACTACCGTCTAGTTTCCGAGCTCGATAAATCTGGCTTTTTCCCGAATGAACCTGACTGCAGTATTACATGCTGCCCCTCATCCCGTGACGAGCCACTCAGGAGACTCAATAGGCGATGATTTAGGATTATCCACGATTCAGATTCCGAAGAGTTTTCTTTTTTTTTCTTTTTTTTTCTTTTTTTTTTTGGGGCTGGGCACGACTCATGCTTCTTTTAACTGTTCCTGAGCGAAAGACCGTTAACACTAATTGGCCATGCCGCGACTCATGTCAGGGGGTGATTCGAGAGAGGCATGCGAGCTGCACCCCCAGTCGATTGTCGTCAAAGGGGAGGGGCAAAAATAAATAAATAAATAAAGTTGAGGTAACGCAGAGATCACACTATTCCTGCTCGCGAAAGGATTCCGGCTGGTTAATGATGGGGCACCCGAAATTTCCAGATACTGCAACAATTTGGGTCCTGCCTCCCAGGGTTATGTGGGTGTGAGGTTCGGTGACGAGGGCTTCTGCATACCAGAGACCAGTTCTGGCTCTGCTGCGCTTGGACGCTACTTTCAACCGCATCCATCCAGGTGCCTGTCTACCACCACCCCTAACAAGTACCGCATCGTCGCCTTGAGCCTCACCTCGGGCAGCTCCTCAAATATCTGAAATTTTCCCAGCTACCCACCGAGCAGGTCTCTCGTCTGGGTCGCAGCAGCAGTCGCCGAAGCAGCATCATGACTCACGACGCCTTTTCTTCTTTTTGTTTTTGGTCACTCGTTCTTTGACCTCCCCAGCGCATGCAATCATCATGTGACGTCCTCGAAACAAGCGACATTCCGTATGGATCGAGACGCCTGTGCGCCATTCTGACCTTTCTGTTCGACACACTTCGAAAACATGCTTGACGTAGTGAGCGTAGGTTTACGCCCTTGTCATTGTTGGTGCCATTTAAGATGCCTAAACGAGTGTCTGAGTACCGAATATCCATTGGTAATTCATACCACTCATCTTATGGTTGCATATACTATTGCATCACAAATTGTTCAGCTCCGTTTCGTGCCTTCAAGAACCTTAAGTAAGCGTCGGCTGTACAGAACAAAACTGGATCAGTAGACTGAATTCCTCACAGATAGGGGCTACATAAAATATTGACATACTGGCCATGCTTTTAGTCAAAATTGTGCAAATTAATTACAGCAACAGGAAATCACATTGCATAGTAGAAATTGGCTCTTCCGGAAGATGGAACAGCCTTGTCCGACAGCGCTGGCCATAGTTAAGTGACAAAGGAGGCGACTGTTGCAAAACACAGCCTGAAATATTCAGCAAGAGTGGCAAAGCTAAGACAGCCAGGATGAGCGACCAGTTTTGTCACCTCACACCGCTAACAGTCACCAAATTGCAGTGGCTGATTCCCAACAGCTGTTTTTTAGACGGCAGAATCACAGGCACAGAAACATTGCTGCGCAACAAATATCAGACTAGGAGCACATCACGTAAAACTCAACCAAATTTGATTACCATCAACTGTGTGAAGCCTCCAACTGAACTGCCCCCAACTGAATGAGACCATCCTTCTCCTCGAATGATTTCGGTCAGCGTGATTACCGAAATCTCTTAACTATATTTGGGGCACAGCTCCTCAACCGAGGTAGTTTTGTTGCATCGAACTGTCAGCCAAAGACAGGCAAAGAAAACACAACTTATCTTGCTGTGGCGACATTGGGTCTCGGACCCAGAAACTGTGCACCGGCGGCATTAACGGGAAATACGAGGGTGTGAGGATACGAATGATTCATGATCCTCAGGGTAAGCGACCAGCAGCGCATTCTTTGTGGGGTTCATTTGTTGCCAGCGTCGCGAATGGGGTAGAGTCCATGTCGATGCCATCGCGACTCGTTGGGCTGGTGCTCATCGTGCCGGATTCTTCCTCTTTGCCATGACTCACTTTCTTCAATGGATCAATCGCATCGCTGCAGCCAGATCGTGGGGGCTATCTCCCGAAAAGCTCTAGTGTCGATGGAATCGATGCATCGTGATCGTGGTGTGGAATCACCAAACCTTGGCATCTGTCGCTCATTGTGAGCAGTGCCTGACTAGTCCAGACCAACAGACAGACACAACTATATATATTCATTCATACATATGAATATGTATGTGTATATAAATATAAATATGTACACATTTGTATTTGTATGTGAAACACAATATATTAGATGAAATAGTACAATTTTTTTATGGTGAGGTGTTGATTCATGCTTAATTGCAGGTATAGTTGTCTCATTTGTACAGTTTGGTTGTTTGTTAAGATTATGATTTAATTTTATTTTTTCTTCTTTATTTACTCTGTGTAATAGACTCTTTCTATTTATATCAAATTCAATAAAGAAATAGTTAAAAAAAAACTATGAATTCATGTGAATTTTAAGCATACAAAATTGATTGGAAGAAGGGATGGAACTTCAAAAGTATAATTTTGGTAAATGGTCTTTATTCTAAGTAACAAAAGAAAAGATTTTTTTTTTTTTTTTTTTTTTTAATTAATTAAAAATAATTATGTTATAAGAGGGATTAGTGGAACATCACCCTTCATTTTTAATAGAGGGTTTTAAATATTGCAAGATTGTAAAACCAAATAACATAGATTTACAATTGGATATTTTTAGGATCACTCAAAATATTATGTTCAAAATATCACTATTCAAATCTTAAAAATTCTTGATATTTTGGTAAAGTATTGAGTGATATCAAGTTGACCTAATATATTGACTTAATATTCTACATCCATTCTTTTTCACTCTTTTCTACAATTCCTTATGCTTCTAAAGAAGATCTCTAGTACAACAAATTTTCATAAAGGAGGTCATTTTGGAAGAATTTAGTATGTTGCAATCATTTCTTGGCTAGAAGATCCAAAAAAACTTCCAAAATTTGCACAATTTAAGCAAGATTGGAATATGCAAGAAGCACACATTAAAATCTAGAACTTTGGTGTAATTGGCTACCTAGCTAAATAAAACATCAAAGGACAAATTTAATCTTTTTGCAACTAATATGCTAAGTTGACTATGCACTTTTAAGGCTAAGTTTGTAGCTGCCTATGATTGATTAATAGGTATTGGC